TAGACTACTGTAATGCCCTCCTCTCCAGCTGTTCAGACTCTACTATTAGAAGCTTACAACTTGTACGGAACACTGCAGCTCGGATTTTAACCAACACTAGCACATCACTCCAGTTTTATCTGCACTACACTGGCTGCCTGTAAAGTATCGGTCTGATTTTAGATTTTAAGATCTTACGGGGGGACGGAGCATTCTCTATTAAAGCACCTCAGTTGTGAAACAACCTGTCAGGTAAGAGGGGCAAACACTATTGAGGTTTTTAAATCACTTTCAAAAACCCATATTTTCTGCCGGCTTTTAATAAGATGATTGTTTTGCTTTCTATGTTCTTCTATTATTGTTTTAATGCAAAGTGTGTTGCGATTCTAATTGCACTTTAAAAGTTTGATTTGATTTGAGTTTGAGTGAGTCGTGGTGTGGTGGTGTGACTAAAATGCTAGCCACAGTCACCTGAGAGAGTGGGCATTAGCATGGCAACACAAAATAATTCATAACACAAGAGCTTTGTCCCAAATGGCACCCTATTCCCCATATAGTGCACTACTTTTGACCACAGTCCATGAGGAATAGGGTGTCATTTTGGAGCATATAGCTACACCCCTCTCACTTCCCATGTCCTGGCCTGGTGATCAGGATATGAACTAAATAGAAGTAGGGGAAAGCTCACAGGTTTATGGGTGACAGACCTGGGTTCAAATACTATTTGATATCTTTCAAATACTTTGACCGTTTGCTCTGGCCTGCCTGGAGTGCCAGATGGGTGGGGTTTGCACTTTTGCAACTATTCTATTGGTCCCATTGGGTCAGGCAAGCTCAATCAAGCCTAAATAAAGTATTTTAAATTATTTGACAAATAGCATTTGAACCCAGGCCTGATGGTAAACGACCTGGATCCACACACAAATCAATCAATGTGTTTGCTCTCTTAAACATGGACGAGTGAGTGAGTGTGTTAATTTCCTTTGGTATGGCAACTTTGGCATTACAGTAAACGACCGGTGATAAATCATAGAGAGACACTTGCTGGGTGAGCACAACAATGGACATGAGGGCTGCGTCTCAAATGGCACCCTATTCCCTATATAGTGTACTACTTTTCACCAGGGCACTCTTTACTCCTTAGATATTGTACTGATTTAGTCTAGGTCACACCCTATTCCCTACATAGTGCACTACTTTTGACCGGGGTCCCTTAGAGTGCCTTGCAAAAGTATTCATCACCCTTGGTGTTTTTCCTATTTTGTTGCATTACAACCTGTAATTTAAATGGATTTTTATTTGGATTTCATGTAATGGACATACACAACATAGTCCAAATTGGTGAAGGGAAATGAAAAAAATTACTTGTTAAAAAAAATAATCAAAAAAAAATAACGGAAAAGTGGTGCGTGCATATGAAGCCCCTAAATAAGGTCTGGTGCAACGAATTACATTCAGAAGTCACATAATTAGTTAAATAAAGTCCACCTGTGTGCAATCTAAGTGTCACATGATCTCAGTATATTGTGGTTCTCTGTAGCTCAGCTGGTAGAGCACGGCGCTTGTAACGCCAAGGTAGTGGGTTCGATAAAAGCGTCTGCTAAATGGCATATCATATCATATACAGTGGGGAGAACAAGTATTTGATACACTGGCAATTTTGCAGGTTTTCCTACTTATAAAGCATGTAGAGGTCTGTAATTTTTATCATAGGTACACTTCAACTGTGAGAGACGGAATCTAAAACAAAAATCCAGAAAATCACATTGTATGATTTTTAAGTAATTCATTTGCATTTTATTGCATGACATAAGTATTTGATACATCAGAAAAGCAGAACTTAATATTTGGTACAGAAACCTTTGTTTGCAATTACAGAGATCATACGTTTCCTGTAGGTCTTGACCAGGTTTGCACACACTGCAGCAGGGATTTTGGCCCACTCCTCCATACAGATCTTCTCCAGATCCTTCAGGTTTCGGGGCTGTCGCTGGGCAATACGGACTTTCAGCTCCCTCCAAAGATTTTCTATTGGGTTCAGGTCTGGAGACTGGCTAGGCCACTCCAGGACCTTGAGATGCTTCTTACGGAGCCACTCCTTAGTTGCCCTGGCTGTGTGTTTCGGGTCGTTGTCATGCTGGAAGACCCAGCCACGACCCATCTTCAATGCTCTTACTGAGGGAAGGAGGTTGTTGGCCAAGATCTCGCAATACATGGCCCCATCCATCCTCCCCTCAATAAGGTGCAGTCGTCCTGTCCCCTTTGCAGAAAAGCATCCCCAAAGAATGATGTTTCCACCTCCATGCTTCACGGTTGGGATGGTGTTCTTGGGGTTGTACTCATCCTTCTTCTTCCTCCAAACACAGTGAGTGGAGTTTAGACCAAAAAGCTCTATTTTTGTCTCATCAGACCACATGACCTTCTCCCATTCCTCCTCTAGATCATCCATATGGTCATTGGCAAACTTCAGACGGGCCTGGACATGTGCTGGCTTGAGCAGGGGGACCTTGCGTGCGCTGCAGGATTTTAATCCATGACGGCGTAGTGTGTTACTAATGGTTTTCTTTGAGACTGTAATTAATTTGCATTTTATTGCATGACATAAGTATTTGATCACCTACCAACCATTAAGAATTCCGGCTCTCACAGACCTGTTATTTTTTCTTTAAGAAGCCCTCCTGTTCTCCACTCATTACCTGTATTAACTGCACCTGTTTGAACTCGTTACCTGTGTTAAAGATACCTGTCCACACACTCAATCAAACAGACTCCAACCTCTCCACAATGGTCAAGACCAGAGAGCTGTGTAAGGACATCAGGGATAAAATTGTAGACCTGCTGGGATGGGATGGGCTACAGGACAATAGGCAAGCAGCTTGGTGAGAAGGCAACAACTGTTGGCACAATTATTAGAAAATGGAAGAAGTTCAAGATGACGGTCAATCACCCTCGGTCTGGGGCTCCATGCAAGATCTCACCTCGTGGGGCATTAATGATCATGAGGAAGGTAAGGGATCAGCTCAGAACTACACGGCAGGACCTGGTCAATGACCTGAAGAGAGCTGGGACCACAGTCTCAAAGAAAACCATTAGTAACACACTACGCCGTCATGGATTAAAATCATGCAGCGCAAGCAAGGCCCCCCTGCTCAAGCCAGCGCATGTCCCGTCTGAAGTTTGCCAATGACCATCTGGATCATCCAGAGGAGGAATGGGAGAAGGTCATGTGGTCTGATGAGACAAAAATTGAGCTTTTTGGTCTAAACTCCACTCGCCGTGTTTGGAGGAAGAAGAAGGATGAGTACAACCCCAAGAACACCATCCCAACCGTGAAGCATGGAGGTGGAAACATCATTCTTTGGGGATGCTTTTCTGCAAAGGGGACAGGACGACTGCACCGTATTGAGGGGAGGATGGATGGGGCCATGTTGCGTGAGATCTTGGCCAACAACCTCCTTCCCTCAGTAAGAGCATTGAAGATGGGTCGTGGCTGGGTCTTCCAGCATGACAACGACCCGAAACACACAGCCAGGGCAACTAAGGAGTGGCTCCGTAAGAAGCATCTCAAGGTCCTGGAGTGGCCTAGCCAGTCTCCAGACCTGAATCCAATAGAAAATCTTTGGATCTGGAGAAGGTCTGTATGGAGGAGTTGGCCAAAATCCCTGCTGCAGTGTGTGCAAACCTGGTCAAGACCTACAGGAAACGTATGATCTCTGTAATTGCAAACAAAGGTTTCTGTACCAAATATTAAGTTCTGCTTTTCTGATGTATCAAATACTTATGTCATGCAATAAAATGCAAATAAATTACTTAAAAATCATACAATGTGATTTTCTGGATTTTTGTTTTAGATTCCGTCTCTCACAGTTGAAGTGTACCTATGATAAAAATTACAGACCTCTACATTCTTTGTAAGTAGGACAACCTGCAAAATCGGCAGTGTATCAAATACTTGTTCTCCCCACTGTATATACACCTGTTCTGAAAGGCCCCAGAATCTGCAACACCACTAAGCAAGGGGCACCACCAAGCAAGCGGCACCATGAAGACCAAGGAGCTCCCAAACAGGTCAGGCACAAAGTTGTGGAGAAGTACAGATTAGGGTTGGGTTATAAAAAAATATCAGAAACTTTGAACATCCCACGGAGCACCATTAAATCCATTATTAAAAAATTGAAAGAATATGGCACCACAACAAACCTGCCAAGAGAGGGCCGCCCACCAAAACTCACAGACCAGGCAAGGAGGGCATTAAATCAGAGGCAACAAAGAGACCAAAGATAACCCTGAATGAGCTGCAAAGCTCCACAGCGGAGATTGGAGTATCTGTCCAAAAAGCCATTGCTTTTTAAACAAAAAAATAAGCAAACACATTTGGTGTTCGCCAAAAGCCATGTGGGAGACTCCCCAAAAATTTGGAAGAAGGTACTCTGGTCATTTGAGACTAAAACTGAGCTTGGGGGTGAATAGTTGGGGGTGGGGGTGAATAGTTATGCATGCTCAAGTTCTGTTTTTTTGTCTTATTTCTTGTTTGTTTCACAATATAAAATATTTTGCTGAATCACATGGGGTGTGTGTGTGTGTGTGTGTGTGTGTGTGTGTGGACGTGATTAACTATACTTGTGGGGACCAGAAATCCCCACAAGAATAGTAAACCAATAAATATTTGACCAACTGGGGACATTTTGTAGGTCAAATGCTATTTCTAGGGGGTTTAGGGTTAAATTTAGATTTAGTGTAAGTGTTAGGGTTAGAATTAGGTTGAGGGTTAGGGTTAGGAGATTTTGAATGGGACTGAATTGTATGTCCCCACAAGGTTATCTGCGCAAGACTGTGTGTGTGTGTGTGTGTGTGTGTGTGTGTGTGTGTGTGTGTGTGTGTTCTGAGGTGTGTATATCTCAATTTGTTCCCTGAACACACCTGATTGAAATAGAATAGGCCCTACTACACCGATTTGAAATATATAAAGAGAGGAGAGGTGGAGAGGAGGTGGAGGTAGAGGGCTGGAGCTAACTACCTTTTTTGCACATGCTGACTTTGAGCACTCCGCTACCCAGGCACTCTTTGGGGGAGACACAGAAGCCTTCATTGGCTGGGTTCTCCTCCTTGCTGGCCAGCACGTCACGAGGAGGGGTGAAACGATACGCTGGGAGCCCCTTCACCTCCACATCCTTCTCAAACTCCATGAAGATGGACCTGAGGATCACAGCAAACAAAATAACAATCAATCAGTCAGTCAATCAAACACTCAAAATGTACTGCCTGAAAATGAGCCCTGCACAATACAAACACACACATCAATATAAAACACAATAAAATACTAAATTACAAAACATGATCATAAAAAACAAAACACAATATTCACTTACAGCATTCCCCACTAATGTTTTAAATTAATACAGCTCATACTATCTTGGGAACTACTCGCTCACATTTGGACTGATATGAATGCATGGAACCACACCAACAGTAAGGGTGGTCTTTTAATCATGTTAAGTGTTGCATTCCCCCTAGTGAAAAGTGTTACATTTTGCTAGTGAACTGCAGTGCACTACACAATAAGATACTGTTATAGGCACCATACCGTAAAAGTGGCCATGGATTCTGTAGTGTTTAGAAAATACAAATGACAACACACAGTCTGAGCCAAAAGGCTGGAAGGATACTGTAAGCAGACATGGGATCAAAAAGTTTCGAAATCTTTCAAAACCTTGGAACGTTTGTTTTAACCTGCTTAGAGACTATTGTGACTATTCTATTGGTTCCATTATGCCAGGCAAGCTCAATCAAGGCCAGCTAAAATATCTGAAATGATTTTAAATAGTATTTGTACCCAGGTCTGACTGTCAGGTCTTCAGCTAGGCCACCTGCAACAATGCACTTTATTGTCTGAGAGATGTGCTCATCTTTCAGAAAGCTGTGTAGTGGTGAACATGTGTTGAACTACACTTGCCTCTACCCACAGACCCTAAATCCAATTTACACTCATAGATTAGAGGTCAGGGGTCACAGGTCATGTCACTCACAAGTTATCCACAGGGGAAATTACCTCTGGAGATCACTGTGGTACTGGTACCCAGGTTTGGGGTCCGTTTCAATTCAGTTAACTCAGGACATAAACTGACATTCTAAATGATATTGACCCCAACGGTAAGTCCAGATGATCTTTAAGTTGTTTACATTCCTCTAATCTTGGAATCCACAACTAGATCTTAACTTGATTTAACTTTACATATACAGTGGGGGAAAAAAGTATTTAGTCAGCCACCAATTGTGCATGTTCTCCCACTTAAAAAGATGAGAGATGCCTGTAATTTTCATCATAGGTACACGTCAACTATGACAGACAAAGATACAATTTTTTCCAGAAAATCACATTGTAGGATTTTTAATGAATTTATTTGCAAATTATGGTGGAAAATAAGTATTTGGTCACCTACAAACAAGACCTGTAACTTCTTCTTTAAGAGGCTCCTCTGTCCTCCACTCGTTACCTGTATTAATGGCACCTGTTTGAACTTGTTATCAGTATAAAAGACACCTGTCCACAACCTCAAACAGTCACACTCCAAACTCCACTATGGCCAAGACCAAAGAGCTGTCAAAGGACACCAGAAACAAAATTGTAGACCTGCACCAGGCTGGGAAGACTGAATCTGCAATAGGTAAGCAGCTTGGTTTGAAGAAATCAACTGTGGGAGCAATTATTAGGAAATGGAAGACATACAAGACCACTGATAATCTCCCTCGATCTGGGGCTCCACGCAAGATCTCACCCCGTGGGGTCAAAATGATCACAAGAACGATGAGCAAAAATCCCAGAACCACACGGGGGGACCTAGTGAATGACCTGCAGAGAGCTGGGACCAAAGTAACAAAGCCTACCATCAGTAACACACTACGCCGCCAGGGACTCAAATCCTGCAGTGCCAGACGTGTCCCCCTGCTTAAGCCAGTACATGTCCAGGCCTGTCTGAAGTTTGCTAGAGTGCATTTGGATGATCCAGAAGAGGATTGGGAGAATGTCATATGGTCAGATGAAACCAAAATATAACTTCTTGGTAAAAACTCAACTCTTCGTGTTTGGAGGACAAAGAATGCTGAGTTGCATCCAAAGAACACCATACCTACTGTGAAGCATGGGGGTGGAAACATCATGCTTTGGGGCTGTTTTTCTGCAAAGGGACCAGGACGACTGATCCGTGTAAAGGAAAGAATGAATGGGGCCATGTATCGCGAGATTTTGAGTGAAAACCTCCTTCCATCAGCAAGGGCATTGAAGATGAAACGTGGCTGGGTCTTTCAGCATGACAATGATCCCAAACACACCGCCCGGGCAACGAAGGAGTGGCTTCGTAAGAAGCATTTCAAGGTCCTGGAGTGGCCTAGCCAGTCTCCAGATCTCAACCCCATAGAAAATCTTTGGAGGGAGTTGAAAGTCTGTGTTGCCCAGCGACAGCCCCAAAACATCACTGCTCTAGAGGAGATCTGCATGGAGGAATGGGCCAAAATACCAGCAACAGTGTGTGAAAACCTTGTGAAGACTTACAGAAAACGTTTGACCTGTGTCATTGCCAACAAAGGGTATATAACAAAGTATTGAGAAACTTTTGTCGTTGACTAAATACTTATTTTCCACCATAATTTGCAAATAAATTCATTAAAAATCCTACAATGTGATTTTCTGGATTTTATTTTCTCATTTTGTCTGTCATAGTTGACGTGTACCTATGATGAAAATTACAGGCCTCTCTCATCTTTTTAAGTGGGAGAACTTGCACAATTGGTGGCTGACTAAATACTTTTTTCCCCCACTGTATACAGCTGCGGAATAAATTAAGAGACCACTGCAAAATTATCAGTTTCTCTAGTTTTACTATTAATAGGTATGTGTTTGGGTAAAAATAACATTTTTGTTTTATTCTATAAACTACTGACACAATTTCTCCCAAATTCCAAATAAAAATATTGTAATTTAGAGCATTTATTTGCAGAAAATGACAACTGGTAAAAATAACAAAAGAGATGCAGTGTTGTCAAACCTCGAATAATGCAAAGAAAATACATTTTTAAACAACACAATAGTAATGTTTTAACTTAGGAAGAGTTCAAAAATCTATATTTGGTGGAATAACCCTGATTTTCATGTGTCTTGGCATGCTCTCCACCAGTCTTTCACATTGATGTTGGGTGAATTTATGCCACTCCTGGCGCAAAAATTCAAGCAGCTCGGCTTTGTTTGATGTCTTGTGACCATTCATCTTCCTCTTGAAGATCTTCCACATTCCAGAAGTTTTCAATGGGGTTCAGGTCTGGAGATTGGGCTGGCCATGACAGGGTCTTGATCTGGTGGTCCTCCATCCACACCTTGATTGACCTGGCTGTGTGATATGACGCATTATCCTGCTGGAAAAACCAATCCTCAGAGTTGGGGAACAATGTCAGAGCAAAAGGAATAACGTTTTCTTCCAGGACAACCTTGTACGTGGCTTGATTAATGCGTCCTTCACAAAGACAAATCTGCCCGATTCCAGACTTGCTGAAGCACCCCCAGATCATCACCGATCCTCCACCAAATTTCACAGTGGGTGCGAGACACTGTGGCTTGTAGGCCTCTCCAGGTCTCCGTCTAACCATTAGATGACCAGGTGTTGGGCAAAGCTGAAAATTGGACTCATCAGAGAAGATGACCTTACTCCAGTCCTCTACGGTCCAATCCTTATGGTCTTTTGCAAACCTCAGACTGGCTCTTCTTTGCTTCTCATTGATGAAGGGCTTTTTTCTAGCTTTGCATGACTTCAGCCCTGCCCATTGGAGGCTGTGTCGAACCGTCCTCGCTGTGCACTTCACCCCAGCTGCCATTTGCCATTATTTTTGTAGGTCACTTGATGTCATCCTACGGTTGTTGAGTGACATTCGAATGAGTTGGCGGTCATCCCGGTCAGTAGAGAGTCGTTTTCGCTCTCTGCCGGTCTGTAGCTTTGTTGTCCCCAATGTCTGCTGCTTGACCTTGTTCTTATGAACCGCCGTCTTTGACATTTTAAGGATGGAAGCAACCTGACGCACACTGTATCCCTCTGCCAGTAAAGCCAGAATTGAACCCTTCTTTTCCTCACTCAAAACTTTCCTTTTGGCATGGTCGATAGTTCTTTTTGGATTAATATTACTTTTGAGGTACTATTAGCACTGTTTTTGCCATCCAGCTGGTCCTATTGCAAGATGATAGTGATGACCACAGCAGTGGTTTTTATACTTTTCCTCGTTAAATAAGATTTGGTTCATGTGATCACCTAATCAGTACCTAATTCAGTAGAATGAGGTGTGCCTGTGTTGGATTCAACAGACAATGGAATGGAATGGCTGTCATACATGTAGAGATGCTGATTTAAGAACAATTTGCAGTGGTCTCTTAATTTTTTCCAGAGCTGTATATTTACACCTTTTTTTCATGAGAGATGAACATTCGTCCAATGTGGAACATAGTGCATCAGCTCTGGAATTAAACAGAAATTCGAAGAAAAAAAAACTGCTTCCTCCAGTTGACTTGATCCTTTGGTCATTGCCAAATGACATTTGACAGATGTGGGACATAGTGCATCAGCTCTTCCCTAATACTTAAAACAATGTGTGTATAAAGGTTGTTGGACATGACTAATGACTAGAACAACAACTTCCTATTATAATTAGAATAAAATAACAAGAAGTGGGCTGTGAGCCACTGGCTGCTTCCCTAATGTCAAAAGTAGTGCACTATGTGGGAATAGGGTGCCATTTAGGTCCCCGTTAACCCCCCTCCAAATCAACAATAAGCGGAGAGTTTAAGGCAGGTGAAAAGTCACAGAGACACAAAGGGGTTTGATCGTGTCAAAGTGCACGTATCAACCTCTGATGACACTGATCACTTTGCCAATAGCCACCAAAGTGTCAGCCACCCAAGAGACAGATGCAAAGCGACACAGTGGTCAGAATTGATTTAAAATTAAAAGTAACAATCATCATCATTAGTTAGAGACAGCAGAAAAACAATTACAGTATTATATACAGAATATCCTACCAAGGCTCTTAAAAAAGATTTACACAAAACATCGACCCTCTCCATACTGAACCCATCTGGATTGGCTTTACATCCATTGGGAAACAGTCCATTGTGAAATCAAACAGAACTGATCCATTTGATCCATGTCTGCCAGAAACGTAAAAAATAAATTCCAGAGGAGTCCCAATTCTCAGGATTCACTGGTAGTGCTGACTAGATGTACAGTGTTACATGATCATAGAAATACCAGCAGCAGTCTCTTGCAGGACAGACCTGGGTTCAAATACTATTTTAAATGTTTCAAATACTTTGAGCGTTTGCTCTTGCCTGCCTGGAGTGCCAGATAGCTAGAGCTTGCCATTTTGGGACTATTCTATTGGTCCATTAAGTCAGGTAAGCTCAATCAAACGCAGATAATGTATTTGAAATTATATTACAAAAACAAACAAAAACATCTGTTGCAGGGGCAGTTTTCATTCACTGTAAGGTCACATTATGTATGGAGTCTAGTGTTTATGTCTTTCAGTAGCTCTCAGTAGAGTCTGTTAGTATCTGATCAGTAGCTGTGTTAGTTGTGTTAGTATCTAGGCAGCTGTAAATATAGATGTACAGGGCTGGAGCAGGGCCATAGAGAGGTAAAGATAGCTGGACGGGGACCATAGGGAGGTCACCGGTCTCTGTTCATGTGTGTAAGTGATAACCATCTCATGAGATCCCAACCATGTGGAAACATTATTCCAATGCCACTAATAAAATATGTCTTTCCTCTTCTGCTGAGGCGAGTCTGTAGGGCCCAGAATAAACCACTACCTCATCACCACTCAAATCCTAACCAGGTGAAAGGTCACGCATGATGAGAACCCAGATCATTGCTCAATGAGGAACATAGCTGAGATACATTTTACCACAGTTGAACTGTTCTGTATGTATTGAACAGTCAACTTAAAGTGTTGCATTTATTTTCAGTGGCATACTGTTAGCAAGGTTGGTTGGGGTCAATTCCATTTCAATTCAGGAAGTAGGTACAAGCTTTTCAATACTTTTATTAAATGAGAAAATGGAACTGATCCAAAACCTGCTGTTTAGTGAGACATAATGTTCTGTTCTGACATGATTATGTATTTCATACTGTACCTGCACAGGTGAGGACTGAGAGTCTCTCCTTCTTGGACAGCAGGGGGTGGAAGGCCCTGCCATCCATCCCATTGATCATGTTAATCTGCTTTGAAATCCACAGACTCAGAATAAACCAGTACCTCATCATCACATTCTCATCCTTACCAGGTGAAAAGTCACTCATGAGACCACAGGCCATTGCTCAATGAGGAACATCGCTTCTGAACTTAGACAATTTTCTCGTGGGATCCTTTTCCCACAGTAAAACTGTATATATTCAACACTGACCTTTGACATACTGTTTAGCAGAGTTGAGGTCAATTAAATTTCCTCATTTAAAAGCAATACTTCCTGACTTGACTTGAAATGGAATTTACCCCAACCCTGTCAAAATTGGTGTGTTTTAGTGACCTATGACATACAGTTTAGTGAGACATCTGTTATGTTCTGATCAGTATGATTCTGTATTGTAGCCTACCTGCACAGGTCAGGACTGAAGATGTACAGTCTCTCCTTTTTGGACAGCAAGGGGTGGAAGGCACTCCCATCTGTACCGTTGATCATGTTACTCTGCTCAGACGTCCACAGACTCAGTTTGCTGAAACACAAAATGTATTTCTAAATGTAACTTGATTAAATAAAAAATACACATGTACATCTTTATAATACCTATTAAATAAAAAGCACCATCCATCCCAATGCTTGATTGTTTAGGCTTGTGTGACTTATCAATCAACGTATTAAAGAAAGCTAGGGGCCTCTGGAGAGTCTCTTTCTCTGGTGCTGCAGTCTGCATTCCAAATGGCCATAGGGGCTCTGGTCAAAAGTAATGCACTACATAGGGAACAGTGTGCCAGTTGGGACACAACCCTGTCCTCTGTTACTGTCTGGCATTATGAAGCAGTTCTTAGGAAACAAATGGACTGTTCTGTTCCAGTCCTTTATACCAGAACAATGATGGGTTTCACATCATCAAATAAATATATAAAACTTGGACAGAATGTCCAGTGTGTGTTCGGGGAAGATGATGTACATGTACAGTATGTATTGTAGGAGGCAGTTACAGTTACAGTTACAGTTACATATTTTGGAGTTGTAAGAAATGTGCTATATAAATAAAGTTTGATTTGATTTGTGAGTGAGTGAGCATCACGTTGTCTATTATCTAAAGTTACAACACAGAAACGTGTGTCATCAGGGTCAATATGTTTCAGTACCTTTCTCCTTTAAATCTGGCTATCCTGCCATAGTCCATGAAGTCTCCCTCCCCGGTATGGTAAACAAATTCACCATCATTGCTTCCATTTTTCTACAGAGTGGAAAAGAGAAGGAAAATCATTCTAAAAGGCCATTAATATTATTTTATCATAATAATATTTTATCATCCACAGACTTCAGGTGAAAGTGGCAACCACCAGCAGACAAAACAGGTATCAATGACCATAGACTATATTGTTCTTTAGAGAACTTAAAAAGGGTTGAGTGTGTCAGATTTTGTATTTTGTATTCACTCCCTATTGACCTACCTTATACATGAGGCCAAAGTACTCATCGATCTCGGGGTTCATGGGGTGTATGCGGGACAGCAGAGGGTCCTTGAAGCCCCACAAAAGCTCGTTGACGGAGTGCGTCATGAACATGCCCACATGCAGGGAGTTCATCCAGATAGACACCATAGAACTCTTCCAGAAGCTATCCTTTACCTTGTTCATCACAGCCTGAGCAGAGGAGGGAGGGGGAGGGATGGTAGGATAGAGGGAGGGAGAGAGAGAGATAGAGATAAAGTGAATGAGGGAGACATAACAGAGATAAGAGAGAGGAGATAGATAGATAGGAGATAAGAGGGGGGAGAGGGGGGGGGGGGGGGGGGGGGGGGGTAATGGAGAGGGAGAGAGATTACAGCAGCTATTCTTCCTGGGGTCCACACAAAACATAGAACATTACAAAATACAGAACACTAATGGACAAGAACAGCGACACAAATTCAAACTAAGAACACAACGACCAAAAAACAACACAACTACAACACAACAAGAAAAAAGAGAAAACAGAAAGATTAAGAAATTAATTATATGCTTATACTTAGGAGCCGCTAAACCTCTACGCTAAACCTCTACATACCACAACACTGAACATGATGGTTGGCTTTAGAAGAGAAAAATAAGAGCTCATAACAGTGTAAACACACACACAGAGAGTTACTCACTACAGCTGGGATGTTGATGGTTGTGATCATGTCCATGTCAGGATCACCCACTGACCTCTCCGGCAGAAACACAAAGGTCTTGGTTTGGTAGGCAGCGACCCTGGTCCCATTCTCTAAAAAGGTCACATTCTCCTTGGGCCTGTACTCCCTGGGACAGACGAGACATTGAGAAAGTCAATATCTCCCTCCCCGAGGATCTGAGCCCTAGGACCATGCCTCAGGACTACCTGGCCTGATGACTGCTGGCTGTCCCCAGTCCACCTGGTCGTGTGGTTACTCCAGTTTCAACTGTTCTGCCTGCGGCTATGGAACCCTCAACCTCTGAATGACCCTGCTGGTCATCTATGAACGTTTAAATATCTTGAAGAACAATCTGGTCTTAACGGTCATGTACTATCTCCACCTTGCACAGCCAGAAGAGGACTGGCCACCCCTCAAAGCCTGGTTCCACTCTAGGTATCTTCCTAGGTTCTTGCCTTTCTATGGAGTTTTTCCTAGCCACCCTGCTTCTTCATCTGCATTGCTTGTTGTTTGGGTTTTAGCCTGGGTTTCTGTATAGCACTTTGTGACATCTGTTGATGTAAAAAGGGCTTCATAAATACATTTTATTGATTGATTGAAATTGTATTGAATATCAGAGATTCAGATAAAGAAACTGTAGGCTTATGTACACTACATTATCAAAAGTATGTGCACACCTGCTCGTTGAACATCTCATTTCAAAATCATGGGCATTAACATGGAGTTTGTCGCCCCTGCACTCTTCTTGGAAGGCTTTCCACTAGATGTTGGAATATTGCTGTGGGGACTTGCTTCAAGAGCGTTAGTGAGAGCATTAGTGAGGTCGGGCACTGATGTTGGGCGACTAGGCCTGGCTCGCAGTCGGCGTTCCAATTCATCCCAAAGGTGTTTGATGGGGTTGAGGTCTGGACTCTGTGCAGGCCAGTCAAGTTCTTCCACACCTATCTCGACAAACCATTTCTGTATGGACCTTGCTTTGTGCACGGGGGCATTGTCATGCTGAAACAGGAAAGCATTGGGGCAGGTAGTGTTCTCCTGCCATCCGCCAAACCCAGATTCGTCCATCTGACTGCCAGATGGTGAAGCATGATTCATCACTCCAGAGAACGCGTTTTCACTGCTCCAGAGTCCAATGGACAGCAAGCTTTACACCACTCCAGCCGACACTTGGCATTGCGCATGGTGATCTTAGGCTTGTGTGCGGCTGCTCGGCCATGTAAACCCATTTCATGAAGCTTCTAACGAACAGTTCTTACGCTGACGTTGCTTCCAGAAGCAGTTTGGAACTCGATAGTGAGTGTTGCAACCGAGGACAGACAATTTTTACATTATGCACTTCTGCACTCAGTGGTCCTGTTCTGTGAGATTGTGTGGCCTACCACTTTGTGGCTGAGCCGTTGTTGATCGTAGACGTTTCACAATAGCAGGACTTACAGTTGACCGGTGCAGCTCTAGCAGGGCAGAAATTTGACGAACTGATTTGTTGGAAAGGTGGCATCCTATGACGGTGCCACGTTGAAAGTCACTGAGCTCTTCTGTACAGGCCATTCTACTGCCATGTAAGGGTTGGTGTGAGGTGTGACCCAGGTGTGGTGCAGGATAGACAGTAGGCAGAGATGGTGAAACAAGGATCTTTACTGGTGGTCCCAAAGCCAGGATACTAAATATTGTCACGATAAAATAAAGGAGGAGAAAAACAGGCTGACAGCAAAAATACGAAATGCTAACTACGACTGAAACAACAATGAAACAGGGAGAACACTTCTCAAGTACCTGTACAATGTCTTGCGATCAGACACTGATTGGTACTGCTTGGCTTCGAGAAACTAGCAGAGAAAACTGAGCAAGGGAACACAGGGAAGTGAGGGCAAAAATACACAGGTGAACAGGTAGACACAGGTGACACCAACAGGATCATGATTAGTCCAGACTGTGAGTGAGGAGGTGCCTAAGGTTGTCGGAGGAGGACACCTAGTGGGTTGCTTCGTAACTGGGACCCCCTCCTGTAACACTGCCAATGTTTGTCTATGGAGATTGCATGGCTGTGTGCTCGATTTTACACACCTGTCAGCAACGGTTGTGGCTGAAATAGCTGAATCCACTAATTTGAAGGGGTGTCCACATACTTTTGTATATATAGTAGATGTGAAAATAATAACATCAAAGAGAGGAGATAGCCTTGCCCTTGCTTTGTCAAACAGTACATATGTATTTAAGAGGTATGGTATTTAAAACTACACCAACCTTTCCCCTTCAAATTCCTGATTGTGATCAAATGTCAAAGCAACTTGATGAAGCAACCTCCAAACTAATACCAGTAACAAAAAAACCAAGGTGGGGTATGGTGTGGTATGGTGTAACCTCTTGTAGGTAAACATAAATGGTACTGTAAATCTGTCATAAAACGTGATGCGTGAGATGCTTTGGACAAATCACAATTTAGCATCTTTCACATTTCGGAAGGGGAGGGGACATTTGGCCTATAGACTTGCCCATTGATTGCAAAGGGTGCCACTGCATGAAAAGCAGAGTTTCTGGGTGAAATCAGATCTGCTATATTCCATTGAAATTTGAGGTGCACGGTCGTGAGTGGGAATTTCCCATGCAGTGACAGGATTTCTGCACAGTCCCATGCATCCCCGAACACTTGTGTGATACGAGAATTTCCAGGACAGTAAATTCCCGATTATGCATTAACAAGTTTCTGGAAATTTCCGGACTGTGCACATCACATAAACTCTTAACGGCTGCAGGCGCGTACCTTTCTACTTCTTCATGACTCGGAAGAGAAGCCCAATTAAAATAAGCCAACTCTCTGTCTCCTTGGCCCTCCTGTAGCTCAGTTGGTAGAGCAATGGCGCTTGCAACGCAAGGGTTGTGGGTTCGTTTCCCACGGGGGGCCAGTATGAAAAATGTATGCACTCACTAATTGTATGTCGCTCTGGATAGGAGTGTCTGCTAAATGACAAAAATTTAAATTGGATCACTAAAAAAAAAAAATCCTTATTTATCCTGTTTTCAGGTTTGTAACATTTATAAGCATGGTTTTGTTTTCAAAAACGCTAGATAACATGTTTATTTAAACTGTGACGAGTTTTCTATTCATTTTGTTGTATAATTTGTGTGCGATTTTCCCATTTATATGACTGTTGCCAAGCTAAGCTAGCTAACTTTGTATGCACTGTAAATTAATGAGAACAAGATGGCATCTCAGATTAATTATTTTTCTGTTATGTTTCTAAATGTTTTGGCTCTTAAATGTTATATGTATATTTTTTTTATGATGGCTCATATTACATGCATTTAACCACGCTAATCATATGTATTTTAGAAGTTTGCTTTTTATTACATTTGTATATAACGGTTGCATGCTAATTGCTAACCGCTAATGTTAGGTAGCACACCATTAGGCGCTAGCTAGACTACCATTTCACCCAAGTAGCTAGCTACTTTTAGCTTACGTTGCTAGCTGTTCGTGGGTTTTTGTTACATTTAATACACAGGCCTCTTCTATAATGTGTTTGTACAATTAGCACTCTATAAATAGAATGAATGTGTATATTCTGTGGTTTTGCACACCACCATCCTTAGTGATAAACTAACACTAGCTATTTAACCAAATAGCTAACTAACCTGCTTCAAATCTTGATTCGTCATACACACTAGCAAAGTAATTATTCTATAGATCGTTGAATTGAGTTCACAAATGTAATATTTTTGCATTCTCTCTGACACAAAGATTTACCTTCCCGCAAGACGTGTCTATGCTCTCATTCTTAATGAGTGAGATGTCACAGAGCACGGACATGTCACCAGATGTCATTAGTTTTTCTTTTCACCAATAATCTAGAATGGTTAAATGTTTCTCTTAGGTGTTCATTCAAACATTGAAAAAGAGTGATACTCTCAATGTTTAATGCTATTTTTACATACACCAAAGCAACATAAAATTAACGTTGTGCTTATATCCATTGCAGGTTCTTGTGCCACCTATTACGAGATTGTGAGGCAGGCGTATCGCTCAGGTTTATCTGAGAACATAGGGGACACAATCTTGGAAAAACATGCAAAGAAGGGTTGCCATTGGAGAAAGCAGGTAAGCCTTTTTGTACGAGTAGCTTATGTGTAACACTAGCTTTATTACTGCTGTTTTACCCCTGGTCTTTGGAATACAAAGTACATACATGGCAAGTTATATATTTGAGTCTAGAAGAGTAGAATGAAAACAGACATTGAATTCCACACACCTGGTCTAGAGTGGCTGCTATAGTGCCCTTAGTGCCACCCATTGCTGTACTTTGTTGGAACACTAATTGCCTCTGTATCAGAACTTCATTGACTGTTTTACTGAAAATAACAGTAATCATGAGCTAGGTACACGTTTTGGCAAAAAATCTGTTTCCTACTCTGGTCCACATGCCTGTAGCTCTGTGCACTGACAGTATCACACGCAAAACTTGTTTTGGTAGGTGTTTGTGGGTGATACATCCAGTGCACAGAGCCAAAGGCATGTGGAACCCCTTTCAATCTACTAAAAGAGAGGATGTCTTTATTTGTTTATAAATACTGTCAGAAATGCTGAATTTAGACTAACTGTAAACAATTTTTACATTGTGTAAAAATTGACTGTTCAACTTTTTAAAATGCAACCGATGTCATTCTTACGTTGAGACGCTTGATATGGTACCCCCTATCTTATTTTTCATTATCTGAAAACCAAAAGTGATCCTAGATCAGCACTCGTAGTCTTGGATACCTTGCAAATATGGGCCCAGAAATATGCAGCATATGTGACTCGTTTCAGGAATCTAGGTGTATGTCGTGCGTCACTACTTCACAGGAGAGCCATTTGAACGTAAACGTTATTTTATTTTATCAAAATGTGTTTTTTGGAAGAAATGCCTTCTGGAAAGTGAACTTTCATGTGCCTTAATAGCAAACTTGTATACCATCTGTAAATACGAAAAAAAAAGTGTTAAATTACTAGCCTATTTGGTTTAGCCACAGAAAAAGACAGGAACCTTCCCGCTAGCCATGATTGGTTGAGATAATGGCTGGGCTGGACTTGCCGAGAGATGA